CACGCTCTGCTCAGAGGCTGCTGTGTTTGGAGCAGCTGAGCCCAGGAGGTGCAGGCACGGAGTGTGGCGTGCCCGGGGACCGCGGGTGCTGTGTGCCTCCTGCCCCACTCCTCGTGTCCTTGGCTCTGCCCCGCAGTGCGAAACCGTGCAGAGCTCCATCGCGGACGCTGAGCAGCGCGGGGAGCTGGCCATCAAGGACGCCAAAGCCAAACTGACCGAGCTGGAGACGGCCCTGAAGAAAGCCAAGGGAGACCTGGCCCAGCAGATGCGCGAGTACCAGGAGCTGATGAACGTCAAGCTGGCCCTGGACATCGAGATCGCGACCTACAGGAAGCTGCTGGAGGGCGAGGAGTGCAGGTGGGCACAGGTCCAACAGAGCTCGATGGCATCCTGCCGGGCCCATGGGGAGGACGCAGCACTCTGCTTCCCCTCTGCTAAAATACGAGCGGTGCTGCAGCGCACCACGCTCCTACGGACCCCGAGGAACCAAGCCGCGTGGCGCTGATTTCCATCCCTTTTCCTTGCAGGATGTCTGGAGAGTGCCAGAGCTCCGTGAGCATCTGTAAGTACCGCTCCCTGCTCCGATGGAGCACGGGGGGCCGTGGGGGGTGCTCCAGCACTTTCGGCCCCACCGGAGGTAACCCCGCGCCTCCCGCTTGTCTCTGCAGCCGTGGTGGGCGGCAGCAGCTCCGTAGGAGGCGGATACGGTGGCAGCAGCGGAGTCTACCTCGGAGGAGGAGGAGGAGGAGGAGGAATGGGGTTCGGCGCTGGAAGTGGGAGAGGCAGCTGTAACACAGGCGGCGCTGGCTTCTGCTACAGCTTAGGAGGGGGCGGATTTGGCGCCGGGGGAGGATTTGGCTCTGGAGGAGCAGGGTTCTGCTCCGGAGGGGCAGGGTCCAACTCTGTCGTGGTGGGGTCTGGCAGCATCCTGAAGAAAAACAGCAGCTCCATGTCTGGGTGCCGGCGGGTCTAGGAGAGCAAGCTATCCCCCCTCCCCAGCACCCAAAGGAGAAAGGCAGCAAACCCCACCACGACCACCGCCACCCATCCGCTGCTGTGTTGGGGGCCACCCCCCCCTGTTTGGACCAGACCCCGTCCTCCTTTGGAAACTGCGTGGGGCGGTGATGCTCAGCGATGTGCACCAGCTGGGGCTGCTGACAAGCTCAGCAGAGGGCTCGAGGCGGTCTCACGTCCCCGGTCCTTGCCTTGGGATGCTGCCGGGCTGCTGACTGTGGGGCCAGGAGCTGCTGTTTGAAGCTCCCCCCCCCCCCCCCCCCGAAAAGCTACAGCAGTGGTGATCCTAGACCAAGAATTTCCCAGCTGGTCCCAGCCAAAGAGACGTCCTCGCCTGCTGCAGTTTTGTTTTCCTAACCAAGGTGCTGGCATTTCACCAGTGTCCTTCAGAAGCAGCTGTAAAATGTTCGGTTTTGTTCGGGCTTTCCCTTTTTGTTGCAATCGTGGGAATGTTGGCGCTTGTTTGCTTAAGCCTTTCTCCTTTGGCATGTGCCATACCCTAATAAACACTAGAGGCAGTAAACTTGTGTGGTTTTCTGTTCTGACCGGGGAGTTTCGTGTCCTAACAGGACTCCTCTTTGTGGAGATCTGGAAGCATTGCCTGGCTTTCCCTTGCCCTTTGCAGGTGGCACTGGAAGGCCCCGCGGAGGCAGCCGGGTTGGAGCCAGCTCAGCTGGGCTTTGGCACAAGGCTGTGCCCACCTCTGCCCCATGGGTGGGGAGCACTGTGTGCTGGCCTTTCAGCCCACCCCAGGCACCTGTGGCTGCTTTCAAGGCGTCTGCCACGGGGGCCTTGGAAACACGGCAGGCGCCAGCGCTCAGCCCCCTCTAGGGCGCTACCCCTGTGCAGAAGTAAAGTATTTCTGGGGAGCTGTAAGCTTAGAGCCGAAAACTCCCAGTGTGGCTTCACCTCTTGCTCAGGAGACCTTGAGTCACGTCCCTGGTCAACCGCAGCCTTGCTCGGGGCTGCGGGTGAGTCACTTTCAGCTCAGCCCGTGCTCCGCTCCCTGCTCGCAGGTGCTGTCACAACTCTGCCAGCCGAGGCATGTAACTGCTTGGCTGGGGACATGCTTTGGGCAAAGGTAAACGCACTGGTAAGTTGTAAAGGGACCCGAGATGGTGCTGAATGAAGACAGTAATGCCCCTCGGAGTCAACCAAAGCTGGCTGTGCTGTGGGAGCACCTCCAGCCCATGCCTCCTGAGGGAGGGCTGCCCCACGCAGAAACAAAGGGCTGCTAGGTGTGCACAAAGGCTTTACTTAAAACAAACACCAAAAAGCACTTTTCTTTTGTTCCTCTGATTGCAGCAGCAATTAAGGGAGGATTCTCCTGGGCTGGACTGAGACATGACAAAGTTCCTGCCTTTTGTTGGAGCACTGAGAACTTCACCTGACCTGAAAGAATTTCTATTTAATTTCGTTGTCACTGCCCTCCGTGTTGAAAGTCCATTCTAGAACATGCTTGCACAGCAAAGATATCTAGATGCCAAGTACTTCATCGGAAGTGTGGGGACTTAACGCTCTGCTTAGCTTCTCCTCCAGAACTTCTCCTGGTCTGAGGCTGACGGCATCTCCCAAGTTCGGTGCACGCTGGCAGCTCCCCGCTGAGCCTTTTGCCCCAGGCGTCTCCCTCATTCCTGCCCCTTCGTTGTCCTCCAGCAGGGGGGACATGGTTGGAGGCCACGGGGGCCCAGTCTGCCCATTGTATTTGGACGTACGGTGCTGCTGAGCCCCAAATCCCTGCCCGATTTCCCAAACTTGGCCGCAGACACGGTGGTGACTCAACGAGCGCGTTATCTAAACACGTGTACTTGGGACGGGAGCATTGTGCTGACTTAGCGCATCTCCCGCCGAGCGCGGCTGGGAACGTGAAACCTCCTGAGCCCGTCGTCCTGCCTACAGGAAAGAAAGAAAGCCACGCAACCATGGATTTGGTAATCTGGAGGGGGGCGAGGGAAGAAATAAGTCGCTTGCTAAACGTGTGTGTATGCGCACAGGGGTGCCTGCACCGCGACGTCCCAAGCCCACAGCACCCGCCTGATCCTTGTGGTGCGGCAGGCAGTGCCAAGACACATTCAGCAGATAAATCAAAAGTGAAATGCACTCACTGCCCGAGTCAGTACTGCCAGGTCTCACCTGCTATTTGTCCAATTTTTTTTTTGTCCCAAAATTTGGAGAGAAAGACCAGAGAGCCACACTTGGGTCTGCGGTCTGCGTGCACCATGGGGCACAGCCACCAAAGCCCCGTCACTCCCATGGTCTCATGGGGTTCTGGCTCTGTATTTTTTGGCTGGCTCCTTTCCCTGACCCCTGCCCGTGGATGAGGTGCCGGTGCTGGGGTGGGACGAGCAGCCCCTGGGGCATGGCCGCGTTTCGGTGGTGCTGCCAGTTTAACCGCACATTAAGTGCTGCCTGGGTGCCTGAGGCGCTTTTGGAAATAGGAGCCTGGGTGATATTTTAGGAGGTATTTAAACTTCTGAAGATACCAGGAGTTGCTCGTGTGGATTTTCAGGAAGCACTTAATTGCCTGTGTCCTATGGGAACTTCTGAGAGTCTCGTCAGACAGCACAGTTAGATGCCTAAATAACCATAAAGAGGTTTGGGCTTCAGCATTGCCTAGGCGGCGTTAAAGTTGTGGTGCTCTGGTTCTCCTGCTGTCAGGGATTGCTGAAAACTAATAAAGAAGATGAACTTCTCAGTAAGAATTTTTAAAAAGAGGCAGTAGGTGTTATTTGGTAGCCAAGTTTCTGCAGGACAACAGGATGAATGCACAGTGGTTCACAGTCTTATGGCAAGTTTAGCTTGTAAGCTGATTCCTTCTCAGTAATGATACCAGAACCAGAGCATTTTGATAAGCTTCTACCGTTCTAAAACCCGGTGACTGCTTTCAAATAAGTGAAAAAAGGATACCTACCCGAGGTCTTGAAGGAGGGCTCAACACAGCTTACAAGTGTGTCTGTCTGCCAAAACTATATTTGCATATAAATGCTGAAGTGAGCCAGGTAGCTGAAAAGCATGCATTTCCTCAAGTGAAAGTCCTTGTGCTCTCTGTTCTCCATTTTTATATGCCTCTACAAACAAGTTGAGCTCTTCAGCATCCTCTGCCTAGCTAATTGCATTTAAGTGTTTACGGTGTGTGTTACGTGGGCAGCAGGACTTTGCATGCCTCCTCTCTGCCTGTTCTCAGGGCTGGTTGCCTGCCGGCTCGCACAGCAGCGGCTGAGCTGCTGCTGCATTTCCTGGCTCTTCTCATGGTCAGTCCCTTCCCAAAACCCTCAGGAAATCTCCAAGGGATTTCCCATCTGTGATGGTCATGGCACTTCTCCACTGTTGCAGAGACCCTCTCGGCATGAAGACACCGGGGCTCGTGTTCAATGAGTTTGGTCCAAAAATGAAAGAATTTCCAGCACCAGCCGTTGCCACGGCATCTCTTCTCTGGTAAGGTTTCATTGATGGAAAAGATGCAAAGCCTCATCAAAATGCAATTTGCTGAGCCCTAGCTCTGGGTTGAGAAACTACTTCTCTAAGCCAAAGGCAATTTTCCATGTAAAAAGAAGGCTAAGGGCGTAACTTAGGTGTGTTTTGGGAATTGTGTAAGCCATGCTACAATTTGGCATGAGCCACAGTGCCTGCCTGCCATAGGGCTTTGGAGTGGAAGATCAAAATAGAGATAAACATAAGCAGGGAAACAACCACAATGGATGAAAGGTGAAAAAAAGACTAGTCTAACACAGGGAGACTGTTACCGTGCCACAGAAGTACAAGACTTCTTAGTCATTGAGTACTACCCTTTGGTAGACACGGTTGTATCTTTGTTAATTTTCTTCTGCATTATAGGGCGTGTTTCTGGGTAGGGTCAATGTTTGGCAAATTGAAGATGAAAATCTGTAAACCACGCCAAGCTGATGAAGACAGTAACTGTCTCCTCCTTCACGCCCATGCAAACCCAGCCCACCTCCAGGAACAGATAAAAGAGAGCATCTGCTGCCCTCCAGTCAGAGGGACTTACTTCCCTTCTCTTTGCACTCACCTCCTCGCAGCCCAACCCCATCGATCTTTCTTCTCTTTTTGACTTTGACCCCACTTGGAAGAAGCAGCCATGTCTCGGCAGTCTGTCTGCAGAAGCTTTGGAGGAGGCAGTAGAAGGGGCTACAGCTCTTGCTCTGCCATCGGTGGTGGCTTTGGAGGAGGTGGCGGCAGAAGCAGGAGCAGCTACAGCTCCTTCTCTATGTCCAGGGGATATGGAGGTGGTGGACGTTGTGGAGGGTTTGGCAGCAGGAGCCTCCATAACATGGGTGGCAGCGGAAGGATTGCCATGGGAGGATGCTACGGTGGCGGAGGCTATGGAGGCAGAATGGGCGGCTTCGGTGGAGGCTATGGAGGAGGACTAGGCAGCTACGGAGGAGGAATGGGCGGCTTCGGAGGAATGGGTGGTGGAATGGGCGGTGGTGGAATGGGCGGTGGAGGAATGGGCGGCTTTGGTGGAGGCATGGGTGGTTATGGTGGAGGCATGGGTGGCGGAGGAATGGGCGGCTTTGGTGGCCCAGGCTTCGGCATGCACGGCTTCGGTGGCCCTGGCAGAGGTGGCCCCGGCATCCAGCCGGTGCAGGTCGACTCGAGTCTCCTGCAGCCGGTCCACGTTGAGATTGACCCCCAGATCCAGCAGGTCAAAAACCAGGAGAAGGAGCAGATCAAGACTCTTAACAATCAGTTTGCTTCCTTCATTGACAAGGTGAGAGGGTGGGATTGTGACTAGTAAGGGTCAGCGTTTGGAGGAGCTGTCAAGTTCTGCAGAAATTTTCTCCTTTATGAGCTAAGCATCAGTAGGCTGAGAAGCTTGGGAAGAGCCTTGCTCTTAAGTACTGCTAGGGAAAAGATGAGAATCTCTCTTCCACATGAGATCAAAGCTATATCTTCAGGGCTTACTCCAGCCTGTTGCACCAGGTTCAGCTAATAGGTTATTCCTGCAAACAGGCTAAACGCCTCCAAACATTTTCTGGTTTCATGCACAAAATTTCACTTCTGCACCTTTCCCTTTCCAAATACCCTTCAGTTTATATATTCACTAATGTTTTGGTTTTTTTTTTTTTTTTTTTTTTTTTCCTCTCTCTCTCTCTCTTTTTTTTTTTTTTCCAAGTATCCAGGGTTTTAGTTTAGACTAGAAATCTCAACTTTCTAGACTACCTGCCGTGGGAGAGTATTGCAGCTGGTGCTACACTTTAAAGCTCCTTTGATTTGAATATGACTTAGAACTTTCCTCCCTTTCTTGACCTCGCAATGTTGTCAACAACAGAGCTTCTAAACAAAATGCTAGCTACCTCTTGTGTCATCATGCCAAGAAGAACTGGTGCCCTTTTCACAAGGTGGACGGGGCGTCCTGTCTGCTGCTGTTGCTTCATGTCTGACGGTGGATGCTCCATGTGTTGGCTTTCAGGTGCGCTTCCTGGAGCAGCAGAACAAGGTGCTCTCCACCAAGTGGGAGCTGCTGCAGCAGCAAGGGCCCTCTGGGCCAAGGAAGAACCTGGATGTCCTCTTTGAGAACTACATCCAGAACCTGAAGAGGCAGCTGGAATCGATCCTGGCACAGAGGGGGCAGCTGGAATCAGAGCTGCAGAACATGCAGCAGTATGTTGAGGATTACAAAACCAAGTAAGTGCAGTGCTGAAGTGACACAGAAAGCAGCTCAAGCAGCTGACAGTGATGGTAATCTTTATTTCACAGGTCATCTTTCTTTACATGTGTACTTTTTATAGCAATTATGGACAAAGTTTGGTCAATTTAAATATTTATTCTGTTTGTATGTGTGTGTGTATGTGTTTGTTTTGTTTAGCATTGCCTTAGGCAGGAAAATTCAGGAAACTCAGCTTATATTTTTACTCTCCATAGGTATGAGGAAGAGATCAACAGGCGCACAGCAGCCGAGAATGAGTTTGTGGTGCTCAAGAAGGTGAGTCACAGGCACTAGAAAATGATTGAATATCAGGCTTTGTCTGTGCTTTGAGGGGTTTCCCTCTTGGTTGGGAAAACCAACGGAGATTGTAGGATCCGAGGTACGGCTCCTGGAAGCTTCTTGCTTTTTCCTGCACGGCTGAATAGCTCTGTCACAGCTGTTGCCTTCAGCACCGACCAACTTCTGTGGTCCTGAAGGATTTCCAAGAGGAAATGAAAGCACTCTCTGTGATCTCTCCTGCAGGATGTGGACACTGCCTACATGACCAAGGTGGAGCTGGAAGCCAAGGTGGGAGCTCTGACCGACGAGATCAACTTCCTGAGGTGCATCTACGAGGAGGTAAGAGCCTGCCCGAGCTGCAGCGAGGTGCAGGGGGAGTCCAGGCACCGAGGGCAGGCGAGGTGCCCGTGGGGCTGCGGTCTGGAGAGTCGCTGGGGCTGCCGGAATGGCTGCTCTGCGCTGCCCTCCTCTCCTGGCACGCCGAGGCTGACTCCTGTGCTGGTTGCAGGAGCTGTCTCAGATGCAGACGATCAGCCGGGACCTGTCTGTGGTGGTGTCCATGGACAACAACCGCCACCTGGACCTGGACAGCATCATCGAGGAGGTCAGGCGCCAGTACGAGCAGATCGCTCAGAGCAGCAGAGCAGAAGCTGAGGCTTGGTACCAGAGCCAGGTGAGCTGGGAAGCACTTGAGGGAGCTGGGGTGGTGGTTTGAGTTTGCAGATGAATTGTGACAAAGTGAGAGATGTCTTTAAGCTAACGGTGCTGGAGGAAGTCTCAAAAGGAAGGGTGTTGCAGCTGAGGGGTCTGGCTCCCTCTTTACAAGTCCAGAATCTCACTCTGGCATTCTGTCTCAATAAACAACATCCATTATTTAGAAACTACCAGGACAAAGTAGCTTTACAGAAACCAAAGGACACTTGTTTGTCTAACTAAGATCTTTCTCCAAATTCAGAAATGTAGGAGACAATGATAATTGTATCTTAGAACCATCTTAGAACATTGAGCTGGGCATCTACCTTTTAGGGACCACTGTGATGAGTGCTCTTAGCAGCACATGAGCTAGGGAAGTTGAGAATCTTGTCTAGGCATCAGGAACGTTTCACTGAAGGGCTGCTTTGTCTCATTACCATCAGTACGAACAGCTGCAGAGCACTGCTGGAATGCACGGGGACAGCCTGCGCAACACCAAAATCGAGATCCAGGAGCTTACCAGGAACATCCAGAGGCTGAGGGCTGAAATTGAGAACGTGAAGAAGCAGGTAGGGGTTATTTGGTGTCTCACTGGATACCAGCTGCGTCACAAACCCAGTTGTGTGGGGCAAAAACATTTTCTTCAACTATTGCTGTTGCCTTCATGGTGTTGCCTTTTTTCTTCTGCTTGAGGCTTGGGGGTCGATGCAGGTGACAAAATGTGACCTGAGAATTTGCTCTTCTTCTTGCTCAGAACCAGCAGCTGCAGGCAGCTATTGCTGAGGCCGAGGAGCGTGGTGAGATGGCTCTGAAGGATGCCAGGTTGAAACTGGAGGAGCTGGAAAGTGCCCTGAGCAAAGACAAGGAGGAGCTGGCTCGCCTGTTGAAGGAGTACCAGGAGCTGCTGAACATCAAGATTGCCCTGGATGTGGAGATTGCCATGTACAGGAAGCTGCTGGAGGGAGAGGAGAACAGGTAAAACATTCCACCTCTGATTCCAGGGCGATGTTGCAACCTGGGCTGGACCCCATGAGATTTGACATCACAGTGTAAGCTCAAAGCAGCTTTTCGGATTACAATGGGTAGATACATCTATTTGTACATTACATTTAAGGTTCTTAGGATTGTCAATTGACAATCCTGGTGATATAAACAATATTTTGTTCTAACACATACAGATTTCATAATGAACCTGAAGTTTGGAAGAACCTCATTGCAAAGAGGAATTATCACTATCTTCCCTCCCTAAATATTTTAGTGTTACTGGGGTTCCCTTCATAGTTGAAATGGAAAAAATCAGAAAACAAAACAAAACAAAACAAAACAAAAAACAAACCACGTACGCCTGTGGTTACATAATGTAAATTAACTTCTCAGAATATAAGATATCTCTTTTGTTAGGCTACTAAAATATACTATTTCATTTTTCAGGCTTTGCAACGACAGCATGTCCAACGTGAATGTCTGTAAGTATCCTCAGTTGTTTCCTTGTGGAGTCGCAGTGGGCTGTGTATTTTGGAGAAGCAATGTGCCACGGCCCCATGCATAACCTGTGCTTCTCTTCCAGCTGTGGTAGGCAGGACCACCATGTCCGGAGGCCGAGGAGGCATGGGAGGAGGCTTCGGAGGCAGCGGCATGGGAGGAGGCTTCGGCGGCAGCGGCATGGGAGGAGGCTTTGGCGGCAGCGGCATGGGAGGAGGCTTCGGCGGCAGCGGCATGGGAGGAGGAATGGGAGGAGGAGTATGTGGAGTAGGAGGAGGCTTTGGAGGTGGAAGCTCTGGAGGCAGCTGTGGCATGGGAGGAGGAATGTACAGCGGAGGCTTCTCTTCTGGAAGTGGAAGGATGTGCGCGTCTGGAGGTGGCAACTTCAGCTCCGGTGGGGGATCCTCCTCCGTCCGCAGATGTGTCACAACCACCTCCGTCAAGTCTTCAGGAGTAAGGTTCTGAGCCCTGAAGGCAGATCGAGAAACAAAAGAAGCTTCTCCTCCCCTCTCCTGGCAGCAGCCCAGCCTCCTTAAATCCGACTCCAGTATCCCGCAAGGAAACGAACTGTGTCCCTCTCGGTCCACCACCTACCCGCTGGGCCTCCGGGCTCCTTCGCAGGAGGGGAGCCTCGTGGCCGTGCCACACTGCTCACTAGCCCCATGCCCAGCGATGAATAACTGAGCAAAGAAAAGTGTCTCGTGTGGATACCCAGTGCGGAGAGCTGATTTAAAGGAGGGAAATGCTCTGCCTTTCTTGCTGCCTTGTACATTTCTAGCTGCCTTGTGGCAAACGTGTATAAAAACACTCTCTGTGCCTATTCCGTCAGGTTGCTTCCTAGATGGCCGTATCCCTGGGGTGCTTCTGCATGCAGTACATCCTGCTTCCATTCACTTGTGCTGCGGGGCATGGCAGGCAGGGGCAAGTGGACTCCTCCCTTGGCAGAGCCGGGGAGCGAGCAGCCTCTCTGCAGGCGACCAGAGGGACAAATTGTCCCGGGGCGAAGCACCTGGGCAGCTTTAGGTGCCTGGAGTCTCCTGCTAGACGCAGGAGCACTCTCGAGCCGTGGCTTCGGGCTCCACTTGCCCTTGCTCCATGGTACCTGCTGACACCTCCTGCCCGCGTGGACTCTTTGCAAAGAAAACCAAACTTGCTTTTCTGCGCTAGGCCCGCTGTGACATGGAACCAGATGTACTGTGCCCCCTCCTTTCCTTTCTGTGTGTGATATGTCCTTGGGATGTTGCCATTCTCAATAAATTGCAGAGAACATTCACGGTGTCTGCTCGTCACTGCTTAGAAGTCTCTCCTCCATAGGATTGCCTCTGGGGAAGCAATGTGGTGGGAACCTGGGTTGTGCTCAGCACGTCATGGCCATGCCGTGAGGGCCTGGCGCGTGTCCAGGCATGGGGGACTCTGCCCCGCACTGTTACGGCCTCACCTTGAGCACCAGGTGTGGGTGTCGCAGGATGAGAGGGCCTCAAAACTATCAGGGAGCCTCCAAAGGAGGACGACAAAGATAGTGAAGGTTCTTGAGGGGAGGACGTGTGAGGAATGGCCGAGGTCTCTGGGTATGTTTGGCCCAGAGCAGTGCATGCTGAGGTGATACCTCCTCTACTCCAGACTAAACAACCCCAGCTCCCTCAGCAGCTCCCCCTACAGCTTGAGTTCCAGACAATTTTTATGGCTCTTCCAACTCAGGATATGCAATATCTCTTGATATCTTGATAAAAGACTCATGACTTTTTTTTGAAAACATGAGCCCACACATAGGATGTTCTGATCAAATGTTATGCAGGCAGACAGCTCAGACAGAAACATTTTTCTAGTATTCACGACTCAGCCATGGTAACAACCAAGGGATTTGACAGACTGTCTCACAGCATCCCCTTCATATCTCCCCATACACCGGTAGGCCACCGTGTTAGGTGAGGAGGGTGGCAGTGGTCCTGAGGGGGGAGGCCACCTCTCCAGCTGCGTGGGATGGTGGATATGGACGCTGGCCAAGCAGCTGGCCTGAGGCCTACAAGGCGGCAGTGGCCAGGTGGGCTGCACAGCTTGGAGACCTGAGGGCATCAAGGGATGATCTGTGCCGACTTGTGGCCATCACATCCTCACTGGCCGTCTGAAAAGTCAGCTGAGTCTCTTGGTGCCCCGTCTCTGCATTGAGAGTGAGTGGGAGAGACTTGGTGTGGTGCGAGGGGGAGGCCGGGGAGCAGGAGGTGGGCAGAATGCTGATGTGTTTGATCTGCGCTGCGCTGCAGTGCCTCCACCACAAGAAGAGATCAAAGAGCCAGAAACCGCTCTCAGTAGTGGTTTGGAAATCCCACAGCAACCCCTGTGAGCGACCAGTGTCCCCGTCGCAGGTCAGCAAGTGCCGACTTTGGGAGAGGGCCACTGGAGGCAACGGGGAATGGTTAGAGGGGTCTCGGAAGAGGGCCTCGTGCTCCCTGTGGGGAGCAGCAGAGCAGCGGTAGAGCTGGCAAAGGTGGCCTTGTTTGGCACCCAAGGCAGAGGATGGAACGGCAACGCCTGTGAGGAGCTGAGCCTCTGCCAAGAGCATTTTGGGTTTGGCCTGGGGCAGAGTCAACTGCTTTGGTGCTTAATTGGAGCGCTCGGTTTCCTTTCAGCCTTAGCACCTGAACGCAGCGTTGTGGGCATTGCTGTGAGGAGTGATGGTGGCATCCTTGTCGATGCCACCGCCCGAGTTTCATGCCAGAATCCCTTTACTGTGCATGGGCTGAAGGTGCAGCTTGGCTTGGTCTGCAGCCTGGCACTGCATCTTTTTTTTTTTTTCTGCAGAGTTTACGTTTTGCCTAGTGTTGACGATTTTGCTGCATATAACTTCTTGTGTAAGAGATCAGAAGGGATTGCTGGAGCCCAAGCTGCCTATCGAGTTTCACCTGGAGGAGGCTGATGCGACTCCAGGCCTGGAATAATCTACACATCTTGTCTGAAGATGTCAGAGTGACTCAATCTGGGCGTCTTATCTGTATGTGCCGAATGTGGTCAGCATCCAGGCATTTGGCTGACTTGACAGATTTTGTCCCTGGTTGTGGAGTTGCCATGTGGGATGTTACAAGCACCTCGTGCTGCCTACTGAGAAAAGCGTCTCCCGTGTGTGTGTGGTAATCTGGAGGAAGGTCATGAGGAGATATGACCTGTTTTTTCCTGACAGAAAATTAAGCTACCATACGTTTCTTTGGAACTGCACCCAATGGACAGGAGTAATGGATTGCAGCATGAGGTGGAGTGTTTATTTATCTGTCCTGGAGTAATGACCAAGGAATTAGATCCTTCTTTTGAAAAAGGTGTCCCTTCTCTGCTGCTTGGATGGCTGCCAATTCTACAGCGGCAGCTTGTGGCTGAGCCAAGCTGCAGCCATCGGGGTAGCCCTTGGCCAAGTGTTCCTTGAGTCCCTCAAGGGTAATGTTCTCCATGCTCCTATGCCCTGCTGCATGAAGAGGCTGTGGAACCAAGCATCCTCCATCTCGGTGGCATTTAGTGGCTTTTATGGTTTGGATTCCTTTAGCTATTCTGTGAGACAGTTTTCCTAGGGCTTTCAAGTGTCTGTGGCTAATGGCTAATACCTACTGATATTTTCAAACAATGCTTCATTGTGCAAGTCTTATGGGATATCATGGATGTAAATTTAATACTTAGATCTTTTGAATAACCTTAAATTCATGTTCTTTATTATTTTAAATCATTTGAGGGTTCATAATGTTTATTTTCTCTTCTCATTTTTAGATTACTGGTGCTGGCTACATACAAGAGGAAATGTAAAAATTTAGTGCTTTATTTCACACATTAACTGAAATGCATATTTGATTTCATATTTCCAGGCTTACAGAATGCTTTTTAAATGGCATTTACACAACTCTGCCCCCTTGTAACTAGCACCTGTAATCTAGGTTCTTCAAGATACTGTGCATCAGTATCATTTTATATTTTATGCCCTAATCTGGATCTTTGTGCATAATGAGTTTAAATTTCTTTCACATGCAATTCAGTAATTGACATCTTTATTTCAAAGACATCCTACAGAATAAATTTCTTACCTTTCCCAATGAAAAAAAAATGAAAATAAGAGTATATACTATGCCTTAGAAGTTGAAGTAGTTCCATTTCTTAACATTTTTCCACTTGAGTTGTCTCATCTTTGTATATAACCAGGTAAAGAAGAGGTCGGCATTCCTCTAAGCAGCAGGAACCCCTCACTGTCTCAAATTATTCGTCTGTCTTTTCTCTTCTGTGGTGCTTGTCTCTGTCCCCAGTCATCATCGCTGCAGCAGCTGCTGAAGTGTCCCTCTGCCCCAGGCAGTCATTCCCCATCGCCGCCCGAAGAACGCGGGGAAGGAGCGTGGCGATTCATGCTGTGTTCTTCTCTCTGCTCCAGCCTTGTCCCAGTTGGTTTTAACAGATCTGAGGAGATACGGTTGGAGGGAATTTAATCCGCAGGGAGAAGACACTCCCATCCAAAGTGACACCACGCACACTCCAAAGAGGTGTAATTCCTTCCTAGCAGGAGAATATGCTGAGTCTCTTCAAACTTTGGTGCCACAAATTCCCATTGAAGATTGGGAAACTTCTACAATGCCAAAGGCAATTTCACATATAAAAAGGAGATTTAGGGTGTGTTTAAGGAATTGTGAAAGCTATATTATAGGTTGTATTTCATCAAAAGTTCTCCTTTCGGTGAAGCTTTGATTGGAAAGATCTATATCTGGAATTGTTCGGAGCCATTAAAGAAGGTTGGGAATCCAATGAGGGGCTGCAGAAAAGTGCATTATCGTGCAAGGTGGTTTCCAACATGTCATAAAATTATGAGAGGCCACTTAGTCACTGAGACCTGTTTCAATGTTCTTGTGCTTTTATTCACTTCTATATTGCAGGGTGTGTTTCTAGGCAGGCCCAAATATGGTAAAGCTACACTGAGAAGCTGTCAACAACACCATGCTGATGAAAATAATAAATTGGTTTCCACCTTCACACCCAAGCCGCTCCAGCCCACCTCCAGAAGCGGATAAAAGGGAGTGTCTGGAGCCGTGGAGCCAGAGAAGACTGCGCACACTTCTCTCTGCATTCATTCCTCAGCTGCACAGCTCTGTTGGTCTATCTGCTCATCTTGACTTTGACCCCACTTGGAAGAAGCAGCCATGTCTCGGCAGTCTGTCTGCAGAAGCTTTGGAGGAGGGAGTAGAAGGGGCTACAGCTCTTGCTCTGCCATCGGTGGTGGCTTTGGAGGAGGCAGCAGCAGGAACAGAATCAGCTACAGCTCATATTCCTCATCCAGGGGATTTGGAGGTGGTGGACAGTGTGGAGGGTTTGGCAGCAGAAGCCTCCATAACATGGGTGGCAGCAGAAGAATTGCCATAGGTGGATGCTACGGTGGTGGAGCCTATGGAGGCAGAATGGGCGGCTTTGGTGGAGGCTATGGAGGAGGAATGGGTGGCTTCGGTGGAGGAATGAGTTGTGGAGGAATGGGTGGCTTTGGTGGAGGAATGGGTGGTGGTGGAATGGGCGGTGGAGGAATGGGTGGCTTTGGTGGAGGAATGGGTGGTGGAGGAATGGGTGGTGGAGGAATGGGCGGCTTTGGTGGAGGAATGGGCGGCTTTGGTGGAGGAATGGGTGGTGGAGGAATGGGTGGCTTTGGTGGTCCCGGCTTCCCTGGAGGCATCCAGCCGGTGCAGGTCGACTCAAGTCTCCTGCGGCCAGTCCACGTTGAGATTGACCCCCAGATCCAGCAGGTCAAAAACCAGGAGAAGGAGCAGATCAAGACTCTTAACAATCAGTTTGCTTCCTTCATTGACAAGGTGAGAACTTAGGACCAATTTTGTGTGGACTTGGACTTTTTAAACAACTTTCCCATGGTGTGGAAAGGGAATTTTTTTCTTACCATCAAGTTTGATGGTACGTTTGATAGCACTTGATAAAGTTGCAAGAACGATGCCATTGCAGCAAGTTGTAATTAAGGTCTTATTAAGTAATACTGAACAATAGACAAGGTTTTCATGCTAATGGAAGATTAAAGAGTGTCATCAGGACATTCTGTAGATTCTCTTGTCCAGTAATTTCTTCAGTTTAATTTATAGTGATTCAGGGTAAAGTCATCATAGTGTACTTAGCTGTTCTAAGAGTTCTCATTACTGTAATTCAGTCTGATGAAGCTTTTTTTTCAAGGAGCTCATCCTTTTAACATATGAGTGTTAAATACCATTCAAGTGAATTTGGATTAATATAATTGCAAATAGAAACCAATGACAGAATCACTTACAGAATATATCAGCAGTTAGATGAATCAGTAATTGCTTGCTTGACTTCACAATTGCTGAGATGACAGTAATGTCCAAACCCGATGTTTTGGAGAGAGTGCAACTTATTTACCAATTGGCAACAACTATTCAAGCAAAAGTGAAAACTTCAGAAAGGCTCACAATTTAAAAATGTCTGTGAAATATCAGGCATTAGCAGGTCGGAGCTTTGAGTTGGCCACAGTTGATTTGGGAAATGATTCTGTTGGCCTCCCAAAGAAGCGGGAGGTTGAGGAGTGTGCCGCCCTCCAGGGTGCATAACTCACACAAGCTTCCGTGGGCTTTCAGGTGCGCTTCCTGGAGCAGCAGAACAAGGTGCTCTCCACCAAGTGGGAGCTGCTGCAGCAGCAAGGGCCCTCTGGGCCGAGGAAGAACCTGGATGTCCTCTTTGAGAACTACATCCAGAACCTGAGGAGGAGACTCGAGTCTCTAGTGGGACAGAGGGGAGAGCTGGAGTCGGAACTGCAGAACATGCGGCAATACGTCGAGGAGTACAAAACCAAGTAAGTGCCGAGACAGAGCGAGGAGGAAGGAAGCAGCAAGGCAGGAGAGCAGGGCCAGGCTGCGAGTGCCTGCTGTGTCTTCCCTCTGCTCGGGAGCTCTCCAAAGGGGGCCGGAGGCTTCTGCACAAGGCCAGGGGTTCTGCTGCTCGAGCACTGCAGGAGCCTCATCTTGTCCATCACCTTCCACAGGTACGAAGAAGAAATCAACAGGCGCACGGCTGCTGAGAACGAGTTTGTGGTGCTGAAGAAGGTGAGTGCCAGAGGCAGGAGGAGGGCGGTGAGCTGGAGGCAGGAGTCTGTAGGGAGGCAGCACTCGGACGGGCAGCTGCCTGCAGCAGGCCCTGGCTGCTGGCAGCCCCTGAGTGATGGGGAGAGGCCGGTGCCCATCTGCGTGATCTGTCCTGCAGGATGTGGACTGTGCCTACATGACCAAGGTGGAGCTGGAAGCCAAGGTGGGAGCTCTGACCGACGAGATCAACTTCCTGAGGTGCATCTACGAGGAGGTAAGAGCCTGCCCGAGCTGCAGCGAGGTGCGGGGGGAGTCCAGGCACCGAGGGCAGGCGAGGTGCCCGTGGGGCTGCGGTCTGGAGAGTCGCTGGGGCTGCCGGAATGGCTGCTCTGCGCTGCCCTCCTCTCCTGGCACGCCGAGGCTGACTCCTGTGCTGGTTGCAGGAGCTGTCTCAGATGCAGACGATCAGCCGGGACCTGTCTGTGGTGGTGTCCATGGACAACAACCGCCACCTGGACCTGGACAGCATCATCGAGGAGGTCAGGCGCCAGTACGAGCAGATCGCTCAGAACAGCCGGGCTGAAGCTGAGGCTTGGTACCAGAGCCGGGTGAGTTGGCAAGAGCCAAGGCAGCTGGGGCAGTGTCTGCCTGTCCATGGAGCACGGGGGATGGCTGAGTGCTTGTGAGGTTGTCTCATCGATGGGTTGTTTGTCTCGGTGTCATCAGTATGAAGAGCTGCAGAGCACTGCTGGCAGGCACGGGGACAGCCTGCGCAACACCAAGATGGAGATCCAGGAGCTTACCAGGAACATCCAGAGGCTGCGGGCAGAAATTGAGAATGTGAAGAAGCAGGTAGGGGTTATTTGGTGTCTCACTGGATACCAGCTGGATCACAAATGTTATTGTGTGGGGCAAAAACATTTTCTTCAAGCACTCTAGTTGAACTGACTTCATTATATTGCGTTTTTCCTCGACCCCTCTACTTGGAGCTTGGGGGAGATTCAGGTGACACAATGTGACCTGAGAATTTGCTCTTCTTCTTGCTCAGAACCAGCAGCTGCAGGCAGCTATTGCTGAGGCGGAGGAGCGCGGTGAGATGGCTCTGAAGGATGCCAGGACGAAACTGGAAGAGCTGGAATGTGCCCTGAACAAAGACAAGGAGGAGCTGGCTCGCCTGTTGAAGGAGTACCAGGAGCTGCTGAACATCAAGATTGCCCTGGATGTGGAGATTGCCATGTACAGGAAGCTGCTGGAGGGAGAGGAGAACAGGTACCATTCTTTATTTGTGTCTATTTGACTAAACCATTCTTGATAGACTATTCTATGTGTGGATTGGGTCTTGTCCTAACCCACTGGAGATTAAAGTCATATTTTAAACATGCTTTAATTCTTAGCCCTACTCAAAAATGTTTTGCATCTTTCTTATAAGAGGTGGCTTTGGTGTTGCTTATTTGTGTTAAGAAATAATTGGGAAAATCAGAAAGAATTTGGAAAATACATACAGTAAATAAAAAAGGAAAATCTCAGCTGAAAAAGCTTGCACTTCCAGTAAGACTAACTGGTACTGTTTTCATTTTCAGGCTTTGCAACGACGGCATGTCCAACGTGAATGTCTGTAAGTATCCTCAGTTGTTTCCTTGTGGAGTCGCAGTGGGCTGTGTATTTTGGAGAAGCAATGTGCCACGGCCCCATGCATAACCTGTGCTTCTCTTCCAGCTGTGGTAGGCAGGACCACCATGTCCGGAGGCCGAGGAGGCATGGGAGGAGGCTTCGGAGGCAGCGGCATGGGAGGAGGCTTCGGCGGCAGCGGCATGGGAGGAGGCTTTGGCGGCAGCGGCATGGGAGGAGGCTTCGGCGGCAGCGGCATGGGAGGAGGAATGGGAGGAGGAGTATGTGGAGTAGGAGGAGGCTTTGGAGGTGGAAGCTCTGGAGGCAGCTGTGGCATGGGAGGAGGAATGTACAGCGGAGGCTTCTCTTCTGGAAGTGGAAGGATGTGCGCGTCTGGAGGTGGCAACTTCAGCTCCGGTGGGGGATCCTCCTCCGTCCGCAGATGTGTCACAACCACCTCCGTCAAGTCTTCAGGAGTAAGGTTCTGAGCCCTGAAGGCAGATCGAGAAACAAAAGAAGCTTCTCCTCCCCTCTCCTGGCAGCAGCCCAGCCTCCTTAAATCCGACTCCAGTATCCCGCAAGGAAACGAACTGTGTCCCTCTCGGTCCACCACCTACCCGCTGGGCCTCCGGGCTCCTTCGCAGGAGGGGAGCCTCGTGGCCGTGCCACACTGCTCACTAGCCCCATGCCCAGCGATGAATAACTGAGCAAAGAAAAGTGTCTCGTGTGGATACCCAGTGCGGAGAGCTGATTTAAAGGAGGGAAATGCTCTGCCTTTCTTGCTGCCTTGTACATTTCTAGCTGCCTTGTGGCAAACGTGTATAAAAACACTCTCTGTGCCTATTCCGTCAGGTTGCTTCCTAGATGGCCGTATCCCTGGGGTGCTTCTGCATGCAGTACATCCTGCTTCCATTCACTTGTGCTGCGGGGCATGGCAGGCAGGGGCAAGTGGACTCCTCCCTTGGCAGAGCCGGGGAGCGAGCAGCCTCTCTGCAGGCGACCAGAGGGACAAATTGTCCCGGGGCGAAGCACCTGGGCAGCTTTAGGTGCCCGGTGTCTCCTGCTAGACGCAGGAGCACTCTCGAGCCGTGGCTTCGGGCTCCACTTGCCCTTGCTCCATGGTACCTGCTGACACCTCCTGCCCGCGTGGACTCTTTGCAAAGAAAACCAAACTTGCTTTTCTGCGCTAGGCCCGCTGTGACACGGAACCAGATGTACTGTGCCCCCTCCTTTCCTTTCTGTGTGTGATATGTCCTTGGGATGTTGCCATTCTCAATAAATTGCAGAGAACATTCACGGTGTCTGCTCGTCACTGCTTTAGAAGTCTCTTTTCCCTAGGAGAAGAGGAGGAGGCCAAGGGGAGGCCTCATGGCGGCCTGCAGCTCCCTCATGAGGGGAGTGGAGGGGCAGGCTCTGAGTTCTGCTCTCTGAGGACAGCAACAGGACCGGAGGGAATGGCATGGAGCTGGGACAGGGGAGGGTCAGGTTGGGTGTGAGGGAAAGGTTCTGCACCCAGAGGTGGCTGGGCACTGGGACGGGCTCCCCAGGGATGGCACCGAGCTGCAGGAGTTCAGGAAGTATTTGGAGAACCCTCTCCAATGTAGGGTCTGATGTTTGGGTGCTCTTGTGTGGAACCAGGAATTAGAGTAATTTATCCTTGTGGTTCTTTTCCTGCTTGGGATATTCTCTGCTATCTCTGGATATATGTTGATAAAAGCTTATTGACTTTTATCAGTTGTAGCATTGCCTGAAAATGCAAGTCCACAGCTACAGTGGAGCGGGTTTTGGAAGCTCAGTTCAGAAACTGTGCAGTAAATGGGAGCAGGCAGGAGCACTGCTCCTTGTAGCATGATAATGGAGGAGTGCAGGAAGCTGGAAAGGTTTGGTTAGATCCTGATGTAGCCTCATCCTGTGAATCATGTACAGTCAACTCCACAATGCAGATGTGCATCTTCCAAAACTGTGCAGAATCAACAGGCTAGACCTTGCCTATTGGGTTCAGCAAACAAAGGCACTTGGTACCCTGCTAGCCACGTCACAGGTCACCAGTGTTCTGACGATATAAACTGAGACTGACCTAGAAAGGGAGTTTATTTGTCTCTTTGATGTCAGATTCTCAGAGGATGTACAAAAGAAGCCGTACTCAGGGTATGCTGAAATCAGGAACAGAAAATTATGGGCTTTGTGCAGCAACACTGTCAGAGCATAATGGCTAAACCAGAGGAGATACAAACACATTGACACATGATGGAAACAGGCAGTGGCAGGGAGGAGCAGACATCAGATCAGTCTGTTGTTGAGATTTCACTTGAGTTTTCTGCCTTGGAGTGGACTTTGGTATGTGGTAGGCGAAGCTGTCAATGGGAGGCCACCTCTCCAGCTGCGTGGGATGGTGGATATGGACGCTGGCCAAGCAGCTGGCCTGAGGCCTACAAGGCGGCAGTGGCCAGGTGGGCTGCACAGCTTGGAGACCTGAGGGCATCAAGGGATGATCTGTGCCGACTTGTGGCCATCACATCCTCACTGGCCGTCTGAAAAGTCAGCTGAGTCTCTTGGTGCCCCGTCTCTGCATTGAGAGTGAGTGGGAGAGACTTGGTGTGGTGCGAGGGGGAGGCCGGGGAGCAGGAGGTGGGCAGAATGCTGATGTGTTTGATCTGCGCTGCGCTGCAGTGCCTCCACCACAAGAAGAGATCAAAGAGCCAGAAACCGCTCTCAGTAGTGGTTTGGGAATCCCACAGCAACCCCTGTGAGCGACCAGTGTCCCCGTCGCAGGTCAGCAAGTGCCGACTTTGGGAGAGGGCCACTGGAGGCAACGGGGAATGGTTAGAGGGGTCTCGGAAGAGGGCCTCGTGCTCCCTGTGGGGAGCAGCAGAGCAGCGGTAGAGCTGGCAAAGGTGGCCTTGTTTGGCACCCAAGGCAGAGGATGGAACGGCAACGCCTGTGAGGAGCTGAGCCTCTGCCAAGAGCATTTTGGGTTTGGCCTGGGGCAGAGTCAACTGCTTTGGTGCTTAATTGGAGCACTCGGTTTCCTTTCAGCCTTAGCACCTGAACGCAGCGTTGTGGGCATTGCTGTGAGGAGTGATGGTGGCATCCTTGTCGATGCCACCGCCCGAGTTTCATGCCAGAATCCCTTTACTGTGCATGGGCTGAAGGTGCAGCTTGGCTTGGTCTGCAGCCTGGCACTGCATCTTTTTTTTTTTTTTTCTGCAGAGTTTACGTTTTGCCTAGTGTTGACGACTTTTGCTGTGCACAGCTCCTTGCGTAAGAGATCAGAAGGGATTGCTGGAGCCCAAGCTGCCTATCGAGTTTCACCTGGAGGAGGCTGATGCGACTCCAGGCCTGGAATAATCTACACATCTTGTCTGAAGACGTCAGAGTGACTCAATCTGGGCGTCTTATCTGTATGTGCCGAATGTGGTCAGCATCCAGGCATTTGGCTGACTTGACAGATTTTGTCCCTGGTTGTGGAGTCGCCATGTGGGATGTTACAAGCACCTCGTGCTGCCTACCGAGAAAAGCGTCTCCTGTGTGTGTGGTAATCTGGAGGAAGGCCATGAGAAGATATGACCTGTTTTTTCCTGATGAAAAACTTAGCTACCTTACGTTTCTCTGGAACTGCACCCAATGGACAGGAGTAATGGATTGCGGCATGAGGTGGAGTGTTTATTTATCTGTCCTGGAGTAATGACCAATGAATTAATTCATTTCATTCAAGCTGCTTTTGAAAGAGAAGGCGTCTCCGCTCTGTAGGGATGGCTGCCATTGGCCAAGTGTTCCTTGAGTCCCTCAAGGGTAATATTCTCCACACTCCTATGCCCTGCTGCATGAAGAGGCTGTGGAGCCAAGCATCCTCCATCTCAGTGGCATTCAGTGCCATTTATGGTTTGGATTCCTTTAGCTATTATGTGAGCCAGTTTTCCCAAGGCTTTCAAGTGTCTGTGGCTAAAGGCTGATACCTACTGATATTTTCAAACAACACTTTGTTGTTGCACAAGTCCTACAGAAGATTCTGAAGACTCAAACACACAAGGTGTATATTCCACCTTGGGAGGTTAAACAGAGTATAATGTTGGACTGCTGAAATGTTTAGGGGTCTGTGAAGTATATTTACTTTGACATTTTTGATGATTTTTGGAGTTAAACACTAGGAAAAGATATATATATATATATTCCTTAAGGTTTATACACACAACTAAAAAGTGTATTTGATTATTGTATCTTCAAAATGTCTTTCAGGTGAATTTCCTACCTCATACCTGGATAATTTGTAGCAGCAGCTGGTTTCTTAAAAATACAGTTTTCTAAAATGAATTTAGGCATCACCTCCTCTCTCCCAGAAAAGTTCCTCTGGTCTCATGTGTCCTTGCCATAGCTCTTAAAGTACACTTCATATTTTCAGCAAAGAAAATATTGCACCTCTGGCTATTTAAGAAAGCATCAAAGCTTCTTCAAACTTTTATGTGCCCCTTATTTAGAAATGATCGAGTATGATGAACTCAACCTGATCCTTTATCTACCAACTTAAGTAAAAAATATTCTTTTCACAAGTCAGTGTTATCCCTGCCCACATTTCTGTGCTATATTTCTGTCTTCAGTCATCATTACCACTTCTAGCGTTGAGTGTCCTTCCTCTCCTCTGCAGGTTCAGCAGCAGCAGCTCCTGTGCCCATTAGAAAAGCACAAAGAAGGAGTGTGGCTGTCCATGTTCTCTACTTCATTGTGCTCTGGTGCTCGGAGTCTGGTCCTCTTACCTCCGGGAGACACATTCTGCGAGAGTTTGCCCTTGAAGAAGGCACTCCCATCCCAACTGATGGTGAGCGTGCTCTTAGGAGAAGAACTAAGCCCCTCCTTTCTGGATAAAAAAGAAATGCTGACTGTTGTTAAATGTTAATGCGTGGTATTCTTGCTTTACACTGGGAAACTGCTTTTTGGAAAGCCATCAGCAATTTTCCATATAAGAAGGAGACTCAGGGTGTGCTTGGGGGGATTGTGAAAGTCTCATTCTAGCTGATTTTCACCAGAATGCTTGTTTGACACTGAGCTTCCATGCAGCAGATCCAGATCCAGATAATCTGAGAAATTGCTAAGAATGGGTAGAAAGGTAGGAGGAGGGAAGAACATGACTACATCACTATAAAACATATTTTTCCAGATGCCGCAAGATATGAGAGTCCACTTACTCATTGAGACCTGTTTCAATGCTCTTGCTCTTTTATTCTCTTCTGCATTGCAAAGCGTATTTCTGGGTGGAGTCAACAATTTGGCAAAAATCTGTTAACCGCACCAAGCTGATGAAGACAGTAAATTTGTTTCCTCTTCACGCCCATGTAGACCCAGCCCACCGCCAGAAACAGATAAAAGGGAATGCCTGAAGCCGTGGAGCCAGAGAAGACTGCACACACTTCTCTCCACATCCATCCCACAGCAGCACAGCTCCGTTGGTCTCTCTCCTCTCCTCGACTCCACTTGGAAGAAGCAGCCATGTCTCGGCAGTCAATCTGCAGAAGCTTTGGAGGCGGAAGCAGAAGGGGATACAGCTCTTGCTCTGCCATCGGTGGTGGCTTTGGTGGAAGTGGGGGCAGAAGCAGGATCAGCTATAGCTCATTCTCCACATCCAGGGGAACTGGAGGCGCCGGACGTTGTGGAGGTTTTAGCAGCAGGAGCCTCCACAACATGGGTGGCAGCGGAAGGATTTCCATGGGTGGCTCTTATGGCGGTGGATACGGATGTAGAATTGTTGGCTTTGGTGGAGGCTATGGAGGAGGATTTGGCAGCATTGGAGGAGGTGTCATTGGTGGAGGAATAGGCAGCTTTGGTGGCCCTGTGAGAGGTGGTCCTGGGTTCCCCGGAGGCATCCAGCCGGTGCAGGTTGACACAACCCTCCTGCGGCCAGTCCATGTTGATATTGATCCTCAGATCCAGCAAGTGAAGTGCCAGGAGAAGGAGCAGATCAAGACTCTTAACAATCAGTTTGCCTCCTTCATTGACAAGGTGAGAGGCTGGAACTACGTCTGCTTGGGGTTGGGGTCTCTGAGGAACTTTCCTGTGCTGTGGAGGGGGGAGCGTTGTCCTTCCCCGCTCAGTGTTGGCATGGCTGGAAGGCTGGCGGTGTTCTCACTGAGTCCTGCTAAGGAAATCTGAAAATTTTACATCTGCAGGGAGGCCAGAGGACTTTCCCTAGGGTCGCTTGACCCAAATTCTTTCTTACCTTTTGTCTCTAGCCTTCTGTGGGGAGTCAGGCCAAAGGGGTCACGGCATACCCGATTATCCTAAGTGGTTCTTTAAAGCCTGTCCTTTTTCAAAGGTAGTTTCTTCTCAAGAAACTTAGAGAGTAGGAATGAAATTTCAGTTAATTCCTGA